GGGGGGGGGGGGGGGCACTCACTTTGTAAATTCAGATACAGCTCTATGAGAATTCAACAAATATGATTTAATGCTTTATTTTCCATGAGTAGATGTTTTGGGGCTGAATTTACAAAACGAGCAGTATTTTAACAAACTCAGTGTCTTGATATAACTCTGGAGTCGAAGTGCTCGGATTAAGACGGCACGTCTAAGTCTCTTTCAAACACAGCACTGTTAATACTGATGCATGTGTCAGTGTGTGTCTGAGGAGCTCACCTGTTTGGCCGCGGTGAACTTTACCTCGAGTTACATATATGTAATGTTCTAGGTGGTGGTTCAAAGTAGCGACAGGCAAACAGCAAACAAACGAATGAAAACAAGCAAAGCAGCGCAACAACTCACCATCCCTCCTCAAATACGCTGATCGGAAAATAATAAAAACAAAATCAAGAGGGAGCCACAAAACTGAACTGCAGAATTAAAGCAAAAGTTAAAGAAACAGTGCATTTGTTCATTAAAATCAAAGTTGGTTGCACAAAATAACTTCATCTCCTTAAAAGAATCACACGTCTGAACCGTTTAAAAACAATACAAGGGAAATCATGAATGAAGCAAAGGATAAGATATCACAGGAAAACAAGAGAAGGAAAGCATTTGTATGATTCACATGTTTTTCTCTGAACTTACTGTTTCTTTGCCTCCTCAAACTTCTGGATGAGTTTCCTCAGGCCGCTGTTTTTGAAACCCTGGCAGTGAGCGGCTGGAGCTCCGATTGTTATCACGTCATACGTGTGCTCTGCAGAAGACACACGCAGACGGGACCGCGGAGCGTTAAGGATGTGAGAAAAGATGCTTGTGTGTGAACGAGCAGAACCGTGAGCCGAGATGTGAGAGTGTCTCACCGAAGCCGAGCTCATCCTGAACCCTCATCCTCTGAACGTGGAGGTTGGTCGGCATGAACTCCAGCTTCCTCTCTGCCTTCAGGTTACTGGCTTTGAATGACGGACCTGACGTGCAGTGGGCGGAGAGAGGGAAAAGAGAAACAAGGGGATAATTGTGAGTATTTTCAAAACTCACTTGACAGGAAGCGGGGAAGAATGTGTGCGACACGAACCTCTGTAATCACTCAGGTCGGACAGCGTTTCCTGGTATGCTAGTATTATGGTCTGGTACTGAGCGACGATCTGTCGCCGCAGGTTCTCCCAGCAGGGGGACAGCTCTCCCAGCTCCTCCAGCTCACAGACCCTGGAGATGGAGAAAAGGAGAAGTGGGAAATCTTCCAAGATAAGTAAATCATCCAATTGTTCTGCAACAAGAACCTCGGCTCCTGTAAATGTCAGAAAAAGAAGATTGTGTGTGGACCTGGCCGCGTCCTCCTCCAGCAGCAGCTTGACGAACTGTCTGGGAATGTTCAGCGACAGGACGCTCTCAGCCATCTGCTCCAGCACGCGTAGATGGTTCCCGTCAGTCGTGGGGAAGCGGTACATCCTGGACATTGTGCCTCCGAACACTGAGGCACAGAAAATTCAATTAGGTCCCATTGTGTTTTTGAAAAATTAGATCAAACCGTGTAACCCAAACATTATACGTGTTATTTCTGGATCTGCAACACATCCCCGAGGTAAACGGATACGTCCCGCCCTGCAGTGACAGTCAATACATATTTCTACTTAAGGAGATTTACGTTCTCATGTATCTGTGAACATGGAGCCGAGTGGGTAAGATAGTCGGAGGACGGCGAGAGGGCGAAAACAGGGGAGACGCATTTTTTTTACAGCTTCACCTGAATGTTCTGGAAATGTTCCTTTGCAGACATGAAAAATGTGTGACGGTTTAGTGATGTCATCACCTGATCGCAGCAGGGTGTCTTTGCATAGCGAGGCGTACTTGATCCGGACTCCCATCGACTCCGTGAGGCTCTCGTCCACAGTCAGCACCGTCTGCAGGTGCATGAAGTCGTGTTAATCTGGTGTCAACCACCTCCACCTCTCTCAGACCTACACTCACCTACTGCTCACTCTCACCACACCGATTAATGAGAAAGCTCAAACTCCCCCCCGACTCTCACCCGGCCGTTGATGCCGTCTTGCAGGCGGTTGAGGGACATCCTCTGGTCCGCTCTGTCCTCCATCTGCCACGCTGTTACGCCGATGTTCCCCACCCGCACGTTCTCCGCAGATCTGTCCAATGAAACACATTTTACTTGAAGTATCAAGAAGAAATAACAAAGACAGGGGAGCAGGAGGATTCACAGACCTCTTCACCTCAGTACCTTCTCGGCCATGTTGTTACAATTACAAATGTACAAAGAGAACATGAATGTATAACAATAAAAAGAATAGACTTTAATAGAGCCAGTGTGTGTGTGTGTGTTACCTCAGTTCCAGCTGCAATCTGTGGCTCTTCTCCTGCAACAACTCCTTTACAGGAAAAAGTGCGGAGCCCAGCATGTACATCTGGACAGACAGAGAGGCAGACGCATGTTTACTCTGGAGTTCACACACAACTACCTCCTCATCTGCTTTTATTAACCGGTGTGAAGTGAGGGGAGCAAAGTCCACAGTGTTATTACAGTGACTCCGGGTCGTACCGTGCCCTGCGAGCGGTCCTTGACGTCATAGACGGCCAGTTTCACCTGCGTCTGCTGGTTGATGTTGGACTCCTGGAAGAAGGCGACGCTGCTGAGGAAGATGGGATTACTGGTGCCCTGCGGACGGAGGAAGTTACACAGCGACTCAGCAACATTTCTGTCAAAGTAAATCTCACGTTACATCCAGGATGTATTCAGTTAAATTATCTCTGTGCTCTTCCTGTAAAACTACATTTGATGACTCGTGACACCCTCGCGGGCGTTGTTTACTGATTAAATCAGATTAGATGCGAACAGCTGACCTGAAATTGCCCTGGATGGTTAGCTTATGGCCTGTGAGAGCCGATGACATGATATCAGAGGTCACAGGTGTGTGTGTATTCGAAACCATAACTCTTAAAAAGTCTGTGCTTGCAGTCTCCCTCGTCCTCCACCCCCGACAGAACCATGTGGGTGAGGGAGGTGTGGGTGGAGTTAAACCTTCCTCCGCAGGTGCAGCAGAGGCTCGATCGAAATTAAGCGTGTCACTCTGTGGAAGCTAGAGATGACGTTATTTCACAGTGGCCTGGAGAGAGATGGTCGACTCGGAGCAGAAAAACAAAAAGTCTGACCTCTATGACCTCCGTCTGGGCGTGTTTGGTCCAGAAGGCCTGTGGTGGCGTCGTGCAGCTCACTGCTACAAAGCTGTTGGGTTTGCGATCCGAAGCAGGAGTCACCAGGTCTGTGCAGACTGGACGAGAAGACACACACACACAGAGGCAAACAAACCCATGCAGCAGTTTTAGAGGAAGTCATGGTGTCGTGTGACCAAATAAAAATGGTGAAACCTCTAGAACGGGAGAATTTGAAACTCAATGAGACGTAACGAACCGTGAAACTTCCCCTTTAATTGTTACAAGCCTTCAGGTGCATGTTGTGTTCGTGTCACTCACCGATGCTGAACTCCAGCACAGGTTCGTCTGGGTCCTGACTGTTTCCTGGAGAACAAACATTCGGTGTGTGAAAACAAACTTCACTCTGAGCTTGAAGTCATGAAACTGCTTCTCAGTGGGAAGTGTTGACAGATGAAGAGCTGCACTCAGGGATCGTTGGAGGCCGCTCGCTCCCACACAACTTTAACACACTGTGTGTTTGTGTGCGGGTGGGATATCGTATTTTCAGTGGTGCTGCTTTTATGAGTTAACTTTTTAACATCCTCTATAAAGACTAAAAGTCCTCTCACCTGCGAGAGCCAGGCCGATCATCTCGTCGGACAGCTCGAACGTGTTGGCCCGGTACACCGACCACGGCCTCTGTGTCCGGGAGCCGCGCTCTCTGACCCCCGCCATGCCTCTCCGGGACGAGCGGGCGACGGCAGGAGGCCTGAACACACACCCTCGCACACACCGTCACACACTCCCATGTGATGAGCCCCTCTTTCTGCGTAGAGCTCATTCACCTCTCTGCATGGGAAGAGACAGGAGAGTGGAGGAGGAGGAGGAGGAGAAGAAGGAGGAGAAGAAGCTCAAATATCAATACAATACCACACAGCCACATTATCACACTGATGCTCTGGGCTGTTGATCATAAACAGCTCAAAGATAAGACTTGGTCAAGAAAATAAATAATTTCAACCACACGCATGAATTTAAATTCACGATGTTCATATATCAACGCCCACGACGGCAGCGAGGAGGAGGACAGAGATGTATGCGGAACGTGGAACAACAACACAGACGGATATCAGAGATTAGTGCACAACTTGTGACGTCTTTAAGGTCAAACTGATAAATTACAAGTAGTTTTAGAAAACTGCAGTTTCTCGCTGATGAACTGACGACGTGTTGATTTATACCAGAGGTCTAAACTGCAGCTCTCCACCTCCGACTGCAGCCTCCACAGTTCTCAGCTGAGCCAACATCCCTCTGCTGCATGAGACAACATCATAGCTGGACCTCATAAACCGGTCCGAGTCTGTTTGTCTGTGTGTGCAGGAAGGTGTTTATTTGACTTTGCGTGTGTGTCATCCCACAAATTAGCATTTTATCTGCCTCGTTCGAAGTTATCACCCAACAGAAAGTTGATGTTGCTAAGAGACTGTGTGTTTCTCATGAGGTCCCCCCTCCGCAATTTATTTTAATTCCTTTCTCTCTTCCTCATCATTTCCTTAAGCTCGTCTGTCGCTCCACAACTCTTACTAGAATTGTTCTGCGGATCTTTTGGGATTTGTTCCCCTGGAGGTTTTCAGGCTGTGGACGAGCTAACATCCCACTCTCCTCGTCTTCTCCTGCTCTCGTTCCCTCTGTCCCATTTTGTTAAAGAGCAATTAGCCTATTTGCAGCGAAGCGGCAAAAGCAGGTGACAGACGCGGGCTCCAATGGTCCAGTTTGACAAGACGCAGATGGAGACGTCTTCCGTTTATCTGGGGAGGATTCTACTGTCATGTTGCACCTCCTGAAGATTATAAAAACATATTTGTTTGTGAATATGTGGAATTTAAACAATATTTAAACTCTATTGCATCTTTTCCAACCGGGCGCACAGATCTAACAGATCAGATCTTAACTGTGGTTCTGTGTTATTAGTTGGTGGCCTACTTCCTCCTCATAAATGGTCCGGCACTGATCTCCTCTGTCCCACTTTCGTCAGCTCAGATACAAATGTCCTACATCTGCCAGAGTAAACATCTGGAACACGACCTGAGGCTGGAGGAAACCTGGGTTTCTCTGTGGGCAGAATCTCTGCAGCCACTTGGTGCTTGCCGAATTTGCGGGGCTTTTCTTTCCTTCGTATCGAAGACAGAGACGGATGCTACCAGATGATACCAGATTACCAGACGCCTCACATCTCTGGTTTTTGTTCACAAGGAAGGAAATTTCCAGTGTGTCGGCCAACTGGAGTCATTTTTTCCACACCTTAAGCCAAAAAATGATTTGCTTCCAACTTTCCTTATCAAAAACCGGTTCCTACACAGCATCCATTTACAAGCCTCTTGTTTTTATGGGTTGCAGCTTCCTGATGTTGTTGCACGTTAATGGTTTGAGTTGTTTCTACCTTCTGAAAAACACATAGACACTTCCCAGAGCATGAACCTGTGTGCAATGACCCAAAAACCTGGAAAAGAGAAATCCCTTCGCCCGGCAACACATGACAGATTTAACACACCTCAGATCAATGAAGGCATTTCGGCAGATCTGGGAATTCACCTTCTCGCAAAAAGAGTGAGAGGACGTTCGACAGAGAAGAAAGAAAATAACGAGCGGGAGAAATGAGGAGGTCGAACCCCAGAATCTTCACTGAGCGCAAACTGCTGCCATATAAGGGAGCTCCAAATTTAGCCCGCACGGTGGGTTAGTGTTTGTGTAGGTTTGTGAGTCACGTGAATTGGGGCAGACACACACACACACTGTATAGGCCACAGTAAATCCAGGCAGAGCTCCTGACACATAAAACCCTCGTGCAGGGTTGACAAAGTTTAGATTCTGGTTGATTAGCGGTATAAACAGACTTTACAGATGCACGCACTCGTCCTCACAGGGACTGGCCTGGTTGTCTCGGAATCGGGCCAAATCTTTTAATAATTTCCCTCCATTGAAACAAATCTCCAACCACACAACCTGAGTTTCTCTGCAGACTGCTCAGGAACAAATAAGCTGTTTCTGGAAGATGGTGGTGAAATGATGTGACGTTCAAGTGGAAGGATCTGTCGGAGAAACCCGCAAGTTCCATCATGAGAGGTCACTCAACATACTAGAGAAGACCACGACAGGTTTACAGTCTTCTACTCAACCTCCGCACAACTGTGTCTGATTTGTTTGACTCCGTCTGTCGAACGCAACGTTTTCACGTCCATGTGTTTGAAGCTTCTGTCGTAGTTTCATCCTCGGGCAAGAAAAGGCCGAGAGCAAGAGAAACAGACTGAAAGGCAGTGAGAGTCCAGCTGACCATACATGGTGAAACCCCATTTTCAAGCTTCCTCGTTGCCAAGAGGCCTTTCACACACTTTTAGAGCGTGTGTGTGTTGAAGTGTGCGAGTCTACAGGTCGTTCTTTGAAATCTGGTTCCTCCTTGACTATTACAACACCAAATCCAACAGCACAAGACAAATGAAAGTGACCTGAGATGTATTTATCAACCACGGGTGCAGCAGCTGGTGGTGCGATTATAAGAACACAGTTTGGTTTAGGGGTCGGGGAAACTAATTATCTGACTCTCTTAATTAATGACGTCTTCAGCTACTTACAATCATATAAAGAAAAGCACAATAAAGTTATTTCTAGTGTTTTAAAAGCCTCTCTCGTTTGTTCACTCTGCTCCCAGTTTATTCAAAACAGCATCGGTGCAACTGATCCTGACTCAGGACGGCAGGACTCATCTTTTTCCACTTCACTGAAAACCTGAGCAAGAAAATCTTGTGACGTTGTGTATGGTTTTTCTAAAAAACAGAAAACCACCACTGTTCCTGTTTCAGCAATGCTTTCATTTCAACAAAATGCTTTCAGTGGCTATAAGCAGCACCACAGTGTTGGAGATAAAACAGACCTGTGGTATGTGAAGACAAAGTTTCCATCACACGTCGTAGTCAAATCTGCGCTGCGTTGCTGAGCCTGAGATCCAGCAGCGCTCCAGGGTTAGTTTGGGATTTAAGTAGCGCTTAAAGGGATTATGGCTGAAACTAATCTTAAAACCTTTGCATAGTTCAACATGTATTTTACTACAGCTCGCAGCAACAGGCCCAGAGCTTTACATTGTGTAACTCGTGTCTGTCTCATGACCCCGATGCACAGTTTGAATGTTGAACCACGTCAAACATAAGATTAAAAAACTGTCTCAAGAGTGTTTACACAGAATGATGAGGAAGATAATAACTTCATCATATTGGTGAGGGTGAATCTACTCACAGTGTCTGGATGGGATGACGGAAAAGAAGAAGTGAGCTGATCCAGGTTCAGTGAGGATGAGTGGTTCACAGTTCACAACCTGAAAAGAAACGAAAATGGCAGATATTACATTTCAAATCACAGCTCGTTGCGTTTGACGTTTCCAAACGCGTCTTCCGTGATTCGTGATACTAGTGTGAATCGTATGTCAAAGTTTGAGTAAAACGGAGAATGTGATGTATAGCTTCACATCCTGGACACTTTGTCACTGAGCGTGCGAACATCCAGTTGGTATTATAACGGCGCATTGCTCACTTTCTATCACAGCGTCAAAATAAAACAAAAAATAGCAAAGTCAGAAGAGTTGTGTCACAAACGCAAATTAGCCCCCACGTAGTTCCATTGAGCCGATAATAGACACAAAAACACCC